TGTCAATGTTTACACATTTTGTCCTCGTACAATGTACTTTTTCCATGTTTGAAAAATTTTCTTCGGCAGAAGATCGTATTCTTGCAAAGAGGGTAATGAACTATTGTTGATTGTAATCTGTGGACTTAAACATTATTTAAATGTTTCCATTCGTGTTATTTAAATTTGACTATATTCGTGCGAAGATTAAGAGAAAACGTCCTTGTGACTCCTGATGGTGGCTCCACATAAGAGCTGAAACTAGTTGCTTCTGAAATCTAATGGATTGGCTATTAGCTGGGTTTTAACTTTTTGTAATAATCTGTGGATTATCATAAGCAGGTATTGACACCATTTTCAAAATTTAAAGGTCATTCAGAGGCTATAGAGTCCACTGAGCAGAGGTAGCACAATTGAGGTAGCACTGAATGAGAGAATTGCTAGACGTTGACCACCATTTGTACTAAGGGATCAAGTACACTGTACTTAGTAAATTGGAATTAGGGGAATAGAGGATTGCAACAAAGTCATGAGTCAATGAGCTGGTTGATTTCCTTAGTTGGTACCAGCATAAAAATTGTTTACAGGGTCTCGATTTTCTAGCAGTGTTGCCATATCAATGCTACCTCCATTTGTACAGTAGTATTTATAGCACAGTCAGTTCAATAGACTAGCATCATAAATTTGTATCAATAAGAACATTAAAAGTTATATTCTAAGTAAACCAAACTATTCTTCGTTGAACTATCAGTAAGTGTAGACTTATGGTGGATTATTGAAGTGTTTCACATACATATTGCTTTACTAGTTGTACAATTTTAAGAGTTATATTTTTCTTCAAGAACACAATTATAAAAACATATTCGTTATCTTTAAGGAAGAATCGATAAGTCTTAGGGAAGAGAGTTGTGAGAACTCTTTTAAGACGGATATAGAATTCCACGAGGAGAAGGAGATCTTAACAACGAGTAAAAATTTTACAACTTAACCAAGATATTTTTAAAACATTGATTTTCTGCACTCTTTAGTTTTACTAGCAACATTTTGGAAATGCACTACATAACATGAAATAGGTTTTTGGAGATGGTACAAAAATAATTTCACTCCCTATATGGATTTGGCACTGACATTAAAAAAACTCATTATAATTTAATAAGACACAAAGGAAGTGTTTTTCTTGCTTTTTGAATGATTGAGTCTTGAAGTTAAATTCAACCCAGAGAAGTCTTAAAAGGTGATATCTCACAACAATTAAACTATAGTGCTAACTTGATAACAAGGACTTGCAGAGAATTAAGCAGTAAGCAACGCAACAATTTACGCAACTTAACCGTTAATTGAATACAATAAATTTACGGTATAGAGTCACCAAATTGTTAATTAGTATGTAATTAACGTTTTGGGCTAAACTCGTTTACGACCGGATAAAGGTCAAAAGCTATATTAAATCATTATCAGAGTCTAATGCAGATTTCACGAAATTATAAGTTGGTTCCCCTATAAATTATAGGGTAAAGTCTAGCTGGCCTTGCATTATAGGATTGGTCGGATTGGCATGGCTAATCTTAAAATAGGTTAATTAGTTTTTTCTTGGTACTGAGAAAGGAGTTTTGTAGACAAAAATATTCTTCGTCTAAGAGACCCATCCTTTTAGCGAACTTTCCTAGCTTGTCCTTTTATATTGTACCACTGTTTTTGTTTCACCCACTTTAAATCTATTTTAACCATGTAAAACCTACTGAAAAATATAGCTTGTCCTCTAGTACTCGTGATATCAAACCCAAAGAGAAAGCGTACGTTGGTTAATTCACCCGAAAAAAGGAGAAACCCATTCAGTCAACACTGTAACTAGACAAGATATAGACATAAAAATGTTTATGAATTTACAATAGAAGTATGATTAGTTTATTGTGGTTCTCAAAGTCAACGGACACTGAAATATTTTGTAACATACATACAAGTGACATTAATATAAACTAAGCTGTCGGTAAATGTATTGAATGGCCAGAGAGTCATATATCTGTCGGATATCTATATAGTAAAATGTGTCTGACAATTATGAGAATGCCAAAGCAATAAATTCAAAGGTAATTAACAAGTTGGACGAATTCCACAAAACTGGTTCTCAGCAGAACAGTATTTCACCTCAAGTTTAATGACATTGAAATTCCAAAACACATTTCCTCTTTTGCTGTTTCTTACCAAATATAGATCTACTGTTCTTGAATACTTTAATAAATTAATTGTATTTGCTGTTTTTTTTAAAGATAGATTTGTATTTATTTATATAATGTATTAGTGGTTAGTTTCTTGGACTTCATGCAATAGGTTGCAAAGAGTTCAATCCTTGGTTATCTACAAATAATTTAAGGGTTCGGTATCCCTTAAAAACCTTTTGTTATTATTTAATTCAAAACGCCACTTGCGTGGACACTAAAATGATAAGCAACCACTTTTCTTTTTTCGTAAGGGTTTTGTAAGTTTGTGCACACTTACAAGGTCCTCAAAAAGTTCGCATGTTTTAACTATTGCAGATAATGCAACAATTCTTTTCACATACATTCAACTCATACAAAACTGTAACCTGTAATTGTTGTTTTTTGTAAGTAAATCAATGCTTTGCCTTACCGGAACAATTCACCAGAAGTCAACAAGTCAGAACTAAATATTAAAAACGATCATGGGTCGTGTACGTACATAAAATCAACAGGGCAGCTTTCCTACAAATAGCGATTGGCTTTGTTCAACAAGTTCTTAAGTCGGTTATTTTGAACCGTTTTGGGCAGGATGAAGAATTTTGGCATCAACTTGTGGACCGCCCCCAGTAGAACAATTGAAAAAATTATATTTGCTTAAAAATCTTATTCTAGGTTTGAGGAATTTACTTGTAAAACTTTGTTGCACTCTCTGCAATGGCTCAAGAAGTAAATTGCCGTTCCCGGACTTTTTGAAGACACTACTTTGTTATCGTCTACTAATGTGGTGAAATGTGTTTTTTTAAATAGTCGAATAATCCCGCCATCCTGTCTTCTTCTTCTTAGTTTTCAGCTTTTTCGTTTTAGTTTTCTTCTTCTTTCTTATTGCTGGTTGACAACACTTGACCAAGGCCCCAATCTATGCTCTGTGGGCCCCACTAGAAAAACGAGGCCTGACACACGATAACTGGGTGTGAAACAGGTCATCGAATAAACAATGATTAATGTAAATCAGATGTTTATTTGATTGCATTGTTTTGTTCTAGCATAAATGACTGTATTAACGGGAAGCTGAATTTTTATTTCAGAATTAGTGTTGCCTACAGTATTATTTTGAGGCTTCTGATTGGCTGAGGGAACATCTTTACCGCAACGATACTGATGATGTCAACGGCCTCGGTGGTGCAGTGGATAGAGTGTTGGGCTTATGTTCCGAAGGTCCCGGGTTCGAATCTCACCCGTAGCACAATTTTTTTTATTGGATTTTTTTCATTATCAACAAGTTTGGTTGGTTTGGTTAGGTTATGACGGTTTAATTTTAAGATTAAAACATTATGAAATTGAATTTGACCCATTTATAGTTTTATTTTATGAACAGAAATATTTTTTTTCGGTTAAACCTTCATTTGACTTTTCATTGTTAGCAAGTCTGGTTAGTTTGGTTAGGTTATGATAGTTAAATTTTATAATAAAAAAATTATAAAATAGGATTTGAGGCATTTATAATTTTATTTTATGAACAGAACTATTTTTTCGATTAATAAACCTTCATTAGATTTTTTCATTGTCAGCACGTTTGGTTGGTTTGGTTAGGTTATGACGGTTTAATTTAATAATAAAAAAAAAATTGAATTTGAGGCATTTATAATTTTATTCTATGATCAAAAATAATTTTTCAATTACTAAACCTTCGTTATAGTCAATCAGAAGCCTCTAAATGACACTGTTGGCAAAATTAATCCTGAAAAACAAATTGTGCTAACGGGAAACAAATTGTAAACAAAACACGACCTCTACATAAACCGTACAGAACTAACAATAAAATTGTCCTCAGCTGTTCCATTAGGATGAGAAATCTACTAGTTTTATCTATGATAAAACGGATAAAACATACTCCCTTGGTTAGTCATACATCCATCCTTGTGTTGGTTAGTCTATGGTTCTAGCAATATCTCAGTTGGATTAGGTTATGTTCAGTAACCTTGAATCTAATAGAGGATGCGCAACACGAACGCAGAAGATTTGCTTTAGCGGGAAAACGTGAATGAGGATGACATTTGAACATCTCTTTAACATCTTTATAAATCCATTGTTGACATAACGCCACTAAACCCTCAAGCTCTATAGTGAAGGGATGTTGTCACCGGTTGAAATTCCCGATAGGATTTCCCTTTAAGTGCCAGGGGCAAAACTGTTGTAAATACCCATTATATTGTCTGTGTTTAATACTAGACTAATATTATAAACACATGTTTAACTTGGCTTTGATCTCAAATTGACATGTTATTGTGACTGTTGTGATTTATACCAAACATTCTTTAAAATAATCTTTTAACCTAACTATAGATGTTTTTGTATGTAAGGTACCGTTGTTGTTTAACTAAACCGCCCAGTTCTAGTTTTTGGTTATTCTTTGGACTGAGCTCACATGCATTAGCGTTGGTTAGAGAGTCCTGAGTTAGCCAAATCCAGGACACCTTACAAGTTATTGGATTCCGCCCAAAGACCGATTCTTGTGATAGGATATTTTAAAATTTTATTAGCGAGTTCCGGAGTTAGCAAATTCTACCAACCCATTTTAGAAGATGTATGTTGAGTTGTAGGAATTACCTGTAACTAAATGTTACCGGTATGCTACCGGGAAACTTCAAGAAACAAAACCAAATATTTTAAAAGAATTGTTTATGGCTTATTATTCCCCTCTCCTAACCTGAACCATTTTGCAATTTTTATTGTGATATTTGTTTATAGGGGCAATGTGAAACTATAATACATGATTTGAAAAATGTAAAATATTCGCAAGTTAACAAATTTTTATGTTTTCAGCATGGACCCGCCCGTGGACAAACGCCGGACATTAGTGACCCAACAGTCGACCGTGTGGGCCCGCAGACAACACGCCGTGTGTGTACGAAGGGCGAAGAAGAGATATGGACCTAAGGACAACCCCAATGTGATCCTGGATAATCTGAACATGACTGTACCTAAGGGCACTATGTAAGTTTGTTTAAAAATTAGATTGATATAAGTACGGATGTATACGACGCTCTTCAATATATTTACACTCATACAAGTACAGTAATAAACCCTAACTGGAAACATGATTATAATAAAAGATGTTACAACTTTCATTCACTGTTGATTTCTGCCATACTGGTCATCATCAGAGACATTACCCTTACTTAGTGGTGGCCCAGAGATTACGGGGTTCAAGTAAAGGCGAAGTTCAATAGCGGCCTCTCTTAATACCTGAAATACGGCTGTGCCCCTGAAAAGCATAGGGCCCCTGGCACCGCCTTGTTCGCCTATATAGGGCCGCCTCTGACATTCCCGAAGATAACCATAAATAGTACCAACAACTGCAATGCTAGTGCACAACAATTTTACCTTCAATCTAATTTTAAAAGATTTTACGAAGTAGATTTTAGAAGTTAGAACGTGTCATTGTTTTTTATGGTATGATACAATCAATAAATTTAAATCAAGCAGATTGACCATAAAGTGTGTTCACAAATGTGGAAAGTGTAGTTTAAAATATTTACACAAAACATCAGCATACTACAACTAAAAATTCCCATCGTGGAAAACCAGAACACTTGCGAAATAGTGAAAATGTCAGCTGAATTCCCATAAGTAAAAGGAAAATAATGTAAAATTTAATTGAAAGAGAAACTCAATGAATGTATGAATCACCTTTTTACAATAACGAATGATAGTGTTGATAATGATGATAAGGTTTCTTTTCCGATCACTGACCTGACCTCAATATTGCTTGAGGTTGAGGTAATTAAATGAACTAGCTTAATAAGTTTTTTGATAAAAGATTTTATAAAATTTGTTTGAACAATTTTTTTAAAGTGATTTAAGTGAAGATTATGCTGAGATTAACTTGTGCATTTCAATCTTACTTCAAATCAATCTTGTATTAACAATAGAACACACAATTCTATCAATGGTCATATATCTTAGTTGAAATTCGTCCAGTGAATTTAAGCCACTTCTACAAAACAGGTAACACAAAATAAATCCTTTCATTATTGTTGGTCGACAAATTCCTAGAAATCGATCTTTACCTTTTGTAATCCCTCTCCGAATAATACAATACTATTATTTTTTAAGCCATAACAAGAGTGTTCAGATGTTTTATTTCAGTTTAATAAATCATATTCTTTTGTCATTCCAAGGGAAAATTGAAAAGATAAACAAACAACAATAACAATTTTATAGATGGGTTGGATTTTTTTCCTATAACTCTATATGGGAAAAACTCGATAACATATGACATGGGGTTGAATAACTCGATATTGAGATTCTTTCAGCTTCTTCAATTATTTTCCTTGCTTGATATCTATGCTTTTTGTTGACCAGCTATGGACTACTCGGAGCCAGTGGTTGCGGCAAGACTACCCTACTCAGTTGTATCGTTGGACGACGAACACTCAACAGCGGGGAGATCTGGGTGTTGGGTGGCAAACCTGGATCAAAGGGTAGCGGAGTACCGGGGCCTCGGGTGGGATACATGCCTCAGGTACGGTAGTTACCATTGGTTCTAAATATAGTTTATGTCTTGTTAATTGTCTTGTTAAATTGACTTGTTTAGTTGTCTTGTCAATCTCTCAGAGATGGCCTTAGGAAAAGTCCCACACCTCACAGGGACTAAACAAATAAAATATTAACAGTCTTGGCCAATTTTTTTTTTTTTTTTTTTTTTTTTTGCTTTTGCGTTGTTGTGTCAATTAATGAATAGAAATCAATGAAATTGATCAAGATGTTCTCTTATTCACGGAAGGTGCTGCGAATTTAAACGGAATCATGGTTGTTGCCACGATTGTGAAAAATGATTACAGATGTTGCTGCGATTTTAAACATCATCATGGTTGTTGCAAAGATCACAAGAAATTATTACAGGTGTTGCCGCGCCGAAATTGTATTGTGATTTTAAAATATAATTTAGTAATATGATTCTCCTCTGACAAACTTGGTTGGAGCGAAAACTGTATCACAACAGTCGTTAGGTTAATCACAGAAGATATGCTAACGTGTGGAAGAAATTTACATTCCAAAGAGATTTTTTCCCAGGAGCCAGGGCATTCCAAGGGAATATTGATCATTGATTGGTGGTATCTAAAAACTTAAGTTATCTTGTCATTCAAATATATTGTCATTATATATATCCTCACTCTTCTTTACTCTTTTTTTTATTATCAAAAATCTGGTCTTGAAAGTCTTTATGTTACTTTTTAACACACAATGTGTTGTTAAATTAAATTTGATTGTTTACAGATTTTAAGAATTTTATTTTCTTTTAAAAAACACATTGGCTGGTGGTCTCTTTTACCTTGCATTTGCCTGTCCACCATTGAGGCCTTAATGTGGAATGAATCCAGCAAAGGAAATAAGGGGTGATTAGTACAAGGGTGAACTGTAACTTTACTGATAAAAAGTAGTGGCAGTGATAAGGATACAAGCCCATGGCTGCCTTGGGCCCAAAGCCCGCCACCAACTCACCATACTTACCTTTTAGCTGTAACACTTTTTAAAGAACTTAACTTAACATAAGCTTACATGTCATGGACTGTTTAACGAGAATGTTTTTGCCCTTTTATTTGTCATATCACACAATCCTAGACCTATAAAAATTAATTATAAGTGTTAGTGAGATGAATTTTATAATTGTTTCTATCAATTATTGAAATACTGTTTACTGTTGTAGGAAATAGCTCTGTATGGAGAATTCACGATAAGGGAGACCATGATGTATTTCGGGTGGGTATCTGGAATGACAACCAAAGAAGTTGATGAAAAATTGGATTTTCTGATAAATTTACTTCAGCTACCACCCCACAGTCGAGCTGTCAAAAATCTCAGGTAATTTGGTTTGAATATATAATATAAATAAATACAGTACCTAATAACATTATTTTAATAAAATTGGTTTGTAAATTGTTTAAGGTCCATTACGGTAGGTTGCATATCAATAAAATAATTTTCAAACTTAACTTAATCACAGTCTTTGGTTCATAAAAACAATCCTCTTCATGCATATGTGTTAACAAGGTAAAATTATGTTTGCTGGATTTTTAGGATGCATGATTATAAGCCAATAATTTAGACTTATAACCAACAATTTCTTCAAAATGCTCTATGTAAATTGGTTTTACTGTAGTACTTTCCTGCCCCGTTTGGTTGTATGGGAAACTGCAGGATACTTGTCTAATTGAGCTTTCAAATAGTTTCAGTTAATAGAAAAAATTAATGTTCTTGGTATATTTAAAAGAATACATAGACTTCAAGCTTAAATTTGAGGATGAAAATCTCAAAATGAGTTTGTTTTATTTATATCCATTTCAGAATAATGTAAGAAGGTAAAACGTTAATTTCTTACAAATTATTCTAACTGTTATCCCCGTAAAAATAGTTTACCACCATGAACAAAGTGTTCAACCATTTGTTTTCTGTGTAAGGTTGAAGGCCAGATTGGAAGTAAATGGCAATGAAAGTGTTTTGCTATGTGATTATCTCACTTGCCTGTGCTGATAGGTGTAATTGTCTGTAATAGAGAGCCACAAGGTTCCCTCCGTGTCTCGATGTTCCTCTGAAAACATATCAATAGAATGGATCCAACATAGTAAAACTCTGCTTAGTCGGTCCCTTTTAAAAGAACCTGGATTAACTAATGGTGAAAAAAGCAACAAAAAAACTTTTAAAATGTCATGTTTAGTTAAATCTTAAATATTTCAAATTGCTACTCTGGTGCAGACAAACCTTTCATGGGGGTTTTAACCTATATTGTATCTCATGTAGCCTATGTGTGCATTTTTGTTCAATAAATAAATTTGGTGCAGTATCCAAAAATCGCTTTTGGCACTTTTCCTTCAAATTTCCGTTTCATTGTAAACTAAAAAGAATACATGACGTGGGATAAAGTCCAACTTCATGATATCCTAACTTGGATTATAAAATGCAAATCCTTCATGTTTTTTTAATTAGATTTTTAAGAGTTGACACAAATAACATGGCCACAGGTTTTAAATACTACATATTGTTAGTGTTTGCCACCCTACTCCTTAATAACGATAAATATTAATATCTTTGTCTTCCTGAGTAAAATTGAGTCAAATAACCCCTTGAGGAAAGATATTTCTAGGCCAGAATTAGATTTCCACATGAGACAGCTTACTTGGCCTGATATTTTGGCCTCTACTATTGTTACCCCTCCGAAGATGGACATCTGCAAAGAGGCCAAAACAATGCCGAAACTTACAGCCCAAGTTCCCTGTAAAAACAAACAGTTTGGAGTTTACAAAGTGTAAACTCGACGACCACAATATTGTAGTAAAGTATGACAGTGGAAGCTATTATTTCTAGTGTGCATAATAATATTTTCTTTTTAGTGGTGGACAGCAAAGAAGAGTGTCCCTTGCGGCTGTGTTGCTGCATGAACCAGAACTTCTGATCCTGGACGAGCCTACCGTAGGAGTAGACCCACTGCTGCGGCAAAAGTATGTCAATGAAATTTAACCTTTTGTCAACTTGAGCTTAACAACTTCATACTGTTTAGAAAAAACAATACGTCATTTCAATGTGAAACGAGAAAAATTTTCCTTTCTTCTCCCATATGGAGAAAGTATTGTTTTTGTCAAAATGTTTGAGTTTTGGGTGAAAATAATTGTTTTGGGTCTTCTGAACCCAAAAGGTGGTTTTTGAAGTGATATCTGTGTGTGGAGTACACAAGGAGTATGAGGGTATCTTTTATCTATGGTATCTTGTTGAATTTAAAAAAAACCATAATATGACAAAAAAAGATTTTTCACAAAAATGGCCCAGATAATTTTGATTAAAATTCAGTGCTTTTTTGCCCAATGCTATCAAAATTATGATTCAAAAGTTATTGCAGCTTTTGTGATTTTACTAAAATACTATAGTCACTCCCACCGCTTGCCTATGATAAGGGTTGTTGACAAGCTAATGGGAGAAAGTATTTGTCAGATTGATGATACTGTTTAGTATACTAAGTATTGTGTTTTCAAAGGAAAGAATTTTGATTATTAAATAGTGGTGAGAATTTATTGTATTATTGCATTTTCCAATCAGAGTTGATCACAATGTTCACGAACATTTTCAACTTGATTTTCTAAATAATACTGGATTGATTAAAAATGAATGTCAAGTCATTGTTTTACTAGAAATAGTCTGCAACTTCAAACAATGTTTTATAGATGATAAATTATTATTTTTTATTTCCTATTAACCTACTCCAAGACTAGCTACCATTGAAGCTACCAATTAAGCTACCATTGAGCTAAGTGTAGGGTAATATAAACATAAACCGTCCTTGGCAATGTGCTGTATTAATACTCTGTTCAAAAACTCATTGTGTTCAAAAGGGTTATTTGATATTTTTTTTACTGTATTGTGCTGTTACCTACCATATTATTGTCTGACCGTAAATGATTGGTTTCAGCATCTGGGACCACCTTGTTACCATCACCAGGGGAGGTACCACCACAGTCATCATCACAACACACTACATTGACGAGACCAGACAAGCTGGACTAGTAAGTGTACTTCTAGACACCCTTGTTATACGGTAGTCACCCAATAGCACACCTTAAGACGTGACCTCTTTATTCTTTACTTTTACATTCATAAACTCGGTAATAGGTTTGCTAAGAAAAGATGCCAGAATTTCAACATTGTTCAATACTCCCTCCTGATGAACGAATTTTTCATAAGTAGAAGTCTAGTTAAGTAGATAGGGTCTACTAAAAAAACATTTAAATTAAAGCATACTTGTAGATCACTGTAATAATATCATACACTACAGAAAGAGATAAATTATAGATCTGAGTTGAAGAAGATAAGAATATATGGACATTTGTGTTATTTTTTTTGAATTACCATAAAATAGTGTAATGTACTTAATGATTGCGTAGGGACGCAAATAAAGTTTATTTTAATCTAAATATGGTGTTGAAAGTTGATTTTATGATGGGTGAGATTCCTTGTGATTTTGCTTTTAGATAAACCACCTGTTTATTTATCAACTGTTCATTGAAAGCCCAATAACAACCAAAACAAATACCATACTTTGAAGGTATTTACTCAGGGGAGGTATAGAAGAGGCTACGATGACAGCTGTGGGCTTCTTATTAGCTGAGGGAACGCCATTACCGTAACAAAACGGTCGGTAGCCATCGGCCTCGGTGGTCTAATGGTTAGCGTGCCCGGCTGATATTCTGTATGTCACGGGTTCGAAACCTGCTGGGTAGCATTTAACTTTTTGTCCAAGATTTTTTTATTATCAGCAAGTTTGGTTGGTTTGGTTCGGTTATTACAATTTAATTTTATTATTAAGTCATTATAAAATTTTAATTGAGCAAATTCTAGTTTTATTTAATAAATTATTAATTATTTTTCCGATTACTAAACTTTTGTTATATTATTTCTTTATCAGCAAGTTTGGTTAGTTCGGTTAGGTTATGATAGTTTAATTTTATAATTAAAAAATAATGAAATTGAATTTGAGACATTTATAATTTTATTTTATGAACAGAACTATTTTTGCGATTAGTAAACCTTCATTGCCAAAGTGCTCTCTACTACAGCGCTGTTCACGGAGGAATTTTGAACTAAATGCCTCATTCGTACCTCCCCTAAGTCAGACCCTACTTTGAAGAGTCCAAATAAATTTCACAAATATTATTTTTCTTATGGATTGAAATGTTGTTTTGTTGTATTCCATAAAATAAATGCATATTTCAAAAGAAAGATGAGCGAATTAACAGAAAATATGATATTTTTGCTAAGAATATGATAACTTCTACATTAATGTGTTATCCAGATTGGTCTGATGCGTGGAGGACGGTTCCTGGCGGAGGAATCACCAGCAGATCTTCTACAGAAGCACAACTGTGACTCATTGGAGAATGTGTTCCTCAAACTGTCCATCATCCAGAACAAGGGCAAGCGTAGACGCAGCAGCATCCTCATGGAGGTCACTGCCGCAGCCACCGCTGCCATGCCGGTTAGTATATTTTGTCTTAACAAAAGAAAAGAGAAGTCTTCTACCAGATAGTTTAGCGAGTCCTAATGGTGATACATCCTTGTGTTAAGTAGTTTTTCTTTTAGTTCTTAGCTTTAACACGGAGAATTAAGGTATAGGGGAAACTTGCTTATGTGCAAGTGCTTGACCATCTGCTATTAGCTCTAGTAAGTTGCGTGTGCGGGTGCGTATGTGTTAGGGTAATACTTTTGTGACGATCGAAGAAGAGCCTGAGCAGCGAGCACTGTCCGGAAGTTCTTATGGCACAGGGAACAGGGTCTTCCTCCAGTGTGAGTGTTGTAGTACGGTCGAAGGGAGGGAAAGTAGTGTGAGAGGGGTTAGAAGAAGCGACTGCAGAAGACTCCCTCTTATCCGGACACCTTTTAACCGGACATCGGTTTAACCAGACTACACTCGGCGAAAATTACATCTCTTTAACTGGTCAATCTTTATCAGGACATTGGTTTAACTGGACTAGATCGGCAGGAAGTGAGTGGTACTGAAACGACTGTTCTCGTGGGAAAGATACGTAATAAATCATTGGCTTATACAGTATGCATTTAAACAGTCCGTTTTAACGAGTTTTTGGGAACGTCGGTTTAACCGGAAAAGCCTTTAACCGGACAGGCCTCGGTCCCCAGGAGTCCGCATAAAAGAGAATCTACTGTAGTGCTAAACACCAGCGGCTAGTGTTAGACACCACTAAGGGTTACCATACAATGTTTCCTCTGTTCCTTACTTCTCTGTGCTTTAATTCATGTTTTTCGGTACTCTTTTTCCAACACTAAAATCACTTTCTAGTTTCTAAGTATCTAGAATTATTTTGCAATCAACAGCTCACATCCATGGTCAGCAGAATACGAAAAAAAAGGATGGTTAAATCACACGTCGGTAAGTGAGGAGAAAAGTACAGAGTAAAATTGAAAGTGGTTGTATATAAAATCAGTTTGATAACAAGTTGAATCTATGGTGATGATGTTTCAGGATATTGAATCTGGGCATGTCAATGAAGCTTTTGACAACAGTTCGGAAATCAGTGGAGAGTTTGGAGATAACGTTAGTCTTTCATCAAGAGTTCCTGTTGCGACTGACGTAAGTCTATAATCATTGAACAATTTTTTGCGAAGTCAATCTGTCTATATTTGAGCTAAAATTGTTGAAGATACATTAATGTTTATTTTATTAATATTTTGCTAAGCGTAATATTTTCCTACCTAATTTAATTTTGTTGTCAGTTACAATATTTCTTAAAAGTAATTTTGACTGAGCCCAAATAAAATTTTATACTGAATCAATTTTGTTTCCAATCTGTTGACCACTTTAGATGAAATATTTAGTCTCTACGAAAAGATTATCATACATGTGTGTATTGACTATTTGACCATAATTTTTAAAATATACTAACCAACAATAATAGCCATATCATATTATCATGTGCTGGTATAGCAAAACCTTTAGTGAGTACAATTTTATCTGTGGTATAATACTGAATTTTTAACGTTACAGTACTACTTTTTCCATTTGCATGATTAAGTTCCTGATGGCTAGAAGCAGAGGGATAAGAGGTGGTCTAGGACTATGTCAAGGGGGGGGGCTAACAAAAAGGGCTACATGAAAAGAGTAGGGTGTTCAGCCCCCCCCCTGGAAAGTTTGCTATTTTTAAAGCAGTTTGTTGCCTTAAAACCATTTTTAATAATGTCTAGAACTGTATCCAAAATTCTCCGTTACATTTTTAGAACAAAATGTATGTTTGAATTTATTTTTCCAGGAACCAATGGGGGGGGGGATTCAGCCCCTTGGCCCCCTTGGAAGCGCCACTGTACTCAAAGATTTTAATTCCCACACCGAGGTTTAATTTGAATAACATAGTTTACACATGTTACCAGAATATGTTTAGCATTCTTTTAACAGAAAAATTGTTTATAATACAAAACAAAATTTCAGCCTGTGGATCCATTGCCGCCAGACGAAGAGGTGGATTGGTCGATGCTCGATCTCTGTTCAGTTTACAAGAGCCATCACATGAAAGCTTTGATATGGAAAAATGCCCTCTGGATGATAAGGAACGTTGGGTGAGTACGTCTCTTTGAAGGAAAGACTGTTTGTAAAAATTTGATGAACACAATACTTTTTAACATTGCCTCAAGTGTACCTCAAAGCTAGAGAAAATCAATTTTTATCAAAAGTATGATTATAATTTAAAAATATCTGTTGTTTGTTTTTCCAAGCTCTAATAGAGCACAAAATAAAGTAGTATAAACAACAGTTTTTTTATAAAATAGAAAGAAAGCAAGTTCCTTCACAGGGTAGAACGACAATTGCAATCTACTTCACATCAGACTACTAAATAAAATTAAGTCTGTATTAATGTACTGTATTTTTCTGATTTTTAGGTACTACTTAATTGACATGCCTCATATTCAATAATTTATCCCAGTGGTTTTAGGGATTTCTGTGATGAAAATAAGTTTAATTTAAACAATTTCAGTTTGAAGTTTAATTCTTAAAACATATCCCTCTCTAATAAGTGATTACTGCAATTCTAATCCATCATGGGGGAGCGAGCTGGTAACATCATGTAGTGGTAGAGTGCGGGATTTTGGTCCCGGGTTCAAATCCCACCAAATCATCAATGGATTTTATGGAAGTGATAATGCCGCCACCTCTAGATCTAGCCTGAAAATTTGAAAAACAACCTGCCTTGCGTCCTAGGACAAAAAAATCTATCTTGGGGAGCGAGCTAGTCTGCCTGGGACTTAAGTCCCCGAGGTCCCATATTTAAATCCTGCCAAGTAATGGATTTTATCTAAGTGCCTTGACCCCCACTAGACCTAACCTGAAATAATGTGGAAAACGAACCTGAGGAATAGTTTCAAATAATATTTTTTAATGTTTGTTGCAGAATAATGCTGTTTATCATCGGACTGCCAGTTATGCAGATAATTCTGTTTTGCCTTTCGATTGGTAAAGACCCGAGAGGACTCCCGCTCGCCATAGTCAACCACGAGTTAAACAAAACCTTCCCCCACTGCTCCCAGATCAGTTCCTTGGACTTTATTAGCTGTCAGTATCTCAAACAGCTGGAGAGACGATCTTTAAAACTGGTAAAACTTTATAAAATGTTGTACTAGTATTTTTATTCGTAATAAATACACTCTGTTCATAGTAACATTGTGTAAAATCATCAATTGAAATGTAGCATTATCTGTTACGATACAAAAGATTACGAGCTTTCTCATCTTGCACAACAATATTGAAAACAGCTGATGTTTATGATTTAGGATAATAGAAAATTTGATTACGTTGGTTGTAAGGCGATAAGTAGGATGTACACAGAAAATAGAGCATTGTTAAAATAGAGCGCTACACTAAAAAATAACTTATTCTAAAATTGAATTTAGGACTAAACTTCTGTAATAGAAACTCAAAAAATTTTCTATAAAAATGAAAAATAAAAAAATTTTAAAGACCTTTTAAATTAATTTATTTATGTTTATTATTACTGTGAAAGAGCAATTTTTGTATAATTACATTGCTATCTCAAAAACGGCTATTGGCAATTTAGATGAATATTTATATTTTGGTAAGGTTTTCATTTTATTTTGAAATAGAATGGCTTAGTAATTTGATGTTTACTTTTCTTCCTTACACTTTTACCTGTTTTATAGGAATATTTGTTCAACTTATGAAGTCAAAACATAATATCCCTGCCACAGCTAATCTGCAAACTAGGCAAAAAAGTATATCAGTCTCGGGTCTAGGTCTTGCCGTGTAACCCACAGTGATAGCTTCTTCGTTATTGGGAAATTAGCCAAAACTTAGTTAAAACTGGAAGCTATAAAACTTACTTACCGTATTTTACTGAGATTGATTTGTTTTACAACCACCAAGAGATTTTTAACTTTTGTACATCATGTTACTGTCTTCCATATTATAACCACATTATAGTATTTCTAATGTTGACTTGTTCCGCAGAAATATTTTGACAACTACGAGGACGCAGAGCTGTCAGTTCATGCTGGGAAGGCCTGGGGAGTGTTAGAGTTTCCAGAGGAATACTCTACCAAACTCCAACTCCGACTTTTGTCAACTACTAGCGCCAACGAGTCTGTTATTGAGGGCAGCGAGATCTTTGTAGGACTAGACATGTCAAGTAAGAGACGATTTAAATTTTTACACTTGACACACAATAATCTTGATCCAATGGAAGTGTTTTACAGTTTACATGGACTGTAGCTATTGACAAAACACGGGTTGTCTTGTGTAATTTATTTCGCTTGACTGATTCAATTTTTCTATATCATGCTATGAGGGGTAGACCATAGCTTAATATTTTCTGAATTATTAGCCATTATTATAAGGATAATTGATGGTTTTGGTTTTAAAATACGGTAACTTAAAAATTTTTTCCCTACAGTTACTACACAAAGCGGGCTTTCTTGTACTGATTTTAGCACGCAAAGAAGCTAATTGCTGCATTGACTTACTTTTGCCGCACAAATTTTCTGCCACACTCCAGTATTCCAAACAAACAACATAAAAAAGTGTGCTTTTATTAGTCACGGAATACGTGTAAGCTTGAAAATAAGTTGGCAAAACTTAAAGATTCTATATACTATCAGCTGTTGCAGTGTTTCCCATTTTGTTTTACACTTGGATTTAACCTAACCTAAAAATTTGTTGTTTAGTGTTTTAAAGACTAATTATTTCTATGCTTTATAGTAACTTTAGGAAATATAATGTTGTAATGCAAGTGCACACTAGTTACACGAATAACTAATTATCAACATTAATACTGCAACTCGTTTAGTACAGTACATAACAAAACTATGAGTGATTTCTATGATTTTTCAAAATTACTATACCAATACCCTATCTATAAAAAATTTGATCGTCCATTTTAAGTTTGTTTACGAGTGAAAATTTAAAAACGTACGTTTTCATGTCCCTGGCCTTTTACTTCGTATATACTGGATTTGTAGTTTATTATTATGTGTTTTAATATTTTTTGGGACGGGGGCAACATGTTACACACATTTATTTGGTTTTAAATAGGTTCTAGGTATTTTTTTTGTATTTTTAAAGTCTCGAAATTCACGACCATGACGTGTCCCTAGGGTACATTTTCCAACTTTCACGCTGTTTTTAGACTAATTATTCATGCCGAAATATATAAAGCCATATTTTTATCTCATCAATGGTTATTAAACTTACAAAAAAGGAGCATATTATAATTTTATTGTCATTACAAACTGACTACCATGACAAAATAAATAAGTCTGTCCCTCGATTTGGCGTCACGAATTTGGGGAAAAATTTCAACTTTGGAGCACGACAGTGGCAAGCCTGGCGTCGATGGAGTCAGTTGGTTTTAGAGACTAGTTCGGGGTGTACGTCAGGATTGTAGTGCCGGTTGTTTCGAGTTGAAAGGAGGAATTACAAGATTAATAAAGGAAAGATTGTGTTTTTTGTAATTTTGGTGTGTCCATGACCGTACGTAGTCATTCGATGAAGTAGACATGGTGTTAATTTTTGTTTATAAGATATTTCAATTGCTAGATTAACCTAGAAGTCCACTTTGTATCCTCGAACATGAGGCGCAGGGCTACCGCCAGAACAGAGCCAATTAAATAACACGTAATTTCACGACCAAAGTTTCTCGACCATCGCGGGTTTTTTCACGACCAATCCAGCCTTATGGATTATAGTGTGTTTGGTCGTGACAATAACTTTAATATAATTGTAAATTGAACAGTTTAGTTCATATTTTTATTATAACTAACAGGATAATTGAAGGATTGTTTAGAAAGATTATTCCAGACAATTCACGACCGTACCGCTTGTCCCTGACCATCACGTTTATGATTTCTAACATAAAAATTTCAAAAATTAAAATATCGTCATATTTCAATGTTTTATACACAAAAGAAGCACACCTCTATACAAACATAACGATTTTTCGGGTCTCAGGTAAGTTTTACGGAGTTATACAAACTTAAAAAGATTTTATTGGCTTTTTTCAATTTTTTGAGTTTTTTATTTTTTTCTAGAAAGACCAAATATACCAAAAGCTCAGTGACCTTTTTATTGTATAATGGTCATAAAAGTAAATTAGTTTATAGCAAAACGTAGTTACAAAAATAATATTAACTATTTTTAATATTCATTTAAATGTCCGTTATAGTCGTGACAGGATTTTGTGTTTTTCCACTAAAGATGCTCTTTTAAAAAGAAACTACCAAAGATATTGCGTTACCGCATGAACATTTGATGAAACTTCATATGTTAATGAAATAAAAAAAATAATAAAAGTTTTGAAAAAGGGGGAAAAAAATTTGCAAAGTACTTTTCCTGAAAACGTACGTTTTAAAATTTTCACTCTTACACATAAGATATTATCGACAATAAAGCTCTGATGTAGACCACTGAATATGTTGTTCATCAGGGCTGTTCAATGACTTACCATCTATATAATTAATACGCTACATGAATTTTTGTCGGTTGAACTCCTCCGCCGTTTCTTAACCGATTTTATCCATTGACGTCTCATTGGAAAGAGCGTGTCGCGTAGATTTGCAAACTGGCCTTACAATTTTGAAAAAGTCCCTTGGGCTCTGCCCCAGTGGCTTGGAAAGTTCCCATGTTATCCTTATGAAGAACATAATTGTTTACATTTTGATCAGCTGTATAATTTAATTGCTGTTGTTTATTTTTCAATTCAATGAAACCCATTGAGTACATTTATTTACTATTTGAGTTTGTGTAAACAAAACCCCCAAGACGGATCGTGTTAGTATGGTTGTATCATAGATAAAACATACTTGTGTTAGTTAGTCTATGGTTGTATCTTAAATTTGAGTATTAATCGTTGTTTTGTGTCGCTATGACGGATCGTGTTAGCATGATTGTAACTTAAATTTGTGCATTTATCGTGTTTTTGTGTAGCTTTAATTTGTTTATTTGTTGTTTTTTTTTTTCTTTTAAATGCCTCTGACTCGACGACAACGAAACATAGACAGGAGGCGCGATATTGATAACGACCGCAGCGACAGAACAGTGGCGATGTTTATAGGCTTAACTCATCACAGTCAGCACCTCACCCTGGACAATCTCAACTATTAGGTTTCAAATAGGCCCTAACACTACCCCAAAACGAGTTTTCGTTCACAATCGGCCCTCTATCAATGACTTGTGTTGCCTGTACAGCGAGGCATTTTGAGAAGGAGAAAACCGGCCGCAATGCTTTAGGTTTCAATAACGAAGATAAACATGGTCTGAGTTACACACCGGTAATCTTTGAGTTGACTCTTTTAAACTCATTGTAAATATGACTGTTATTCGTTTTGGAATAACTCCTGTGATACTTTGCTATTGCTCGAATTCGAGCAACATGTACACTAGTAATTTTTAAGCTACAACTTGTATTTTATGATCTTCTGAATTTTTAAAATGATCTTAGATTTTGTTATTAATATTATTTTTCTAGACAAAATAGTTAGAATCAGTAAACATAAATAGGGGGGACGTTTAGAAGTAGTTTATTAGTGTGCTTTGTTGACTTTTCATTGTTTTTATGAGGGTTATGAAGGTTCAAAGAATCCATGATAGTCTATTTACATGCATTCAATAAAATTGCTAGAGGGTAAAAAATCTATTATTTGCTCAAGCAATTTTGTATCGTGGATACTGGATAAATAGTTTTGGTTTTAGTTATGATTAATTGCCATTTAATCACCAGAAACCCTCAACTGAAAAAATGAGGACCGAAATTTTATCAGATACAATATTTTGTACTTTTATATAAAAGGTTAAACTTGGAAAGAGATTTATAAATTTAAACATCTTTGCCACCAAGATATTCGATATATATATTTGATATTCGATATTTGATATTACCGATATTACCTTGTTCCGTCTTCAGTCTTAACTTATTCTATGGATGACTAGTTTCGGGTACAAAGACCCATTATCAAATCCTTATTTAAAACATCATATTGAATATGGTCAAATATCCGACGTAGGTTTTCATCAATGTATACATGCAGGTCGACGACACATAAAGTTTACACATTTAAAAAACAAAAGTTACAAATACATTTACGACAGGCCGGCCACATTGAATACGGGACAAACCGACGCAGGTTACACGGTGGACACGACAGCGTGTCGGTTTGTCCCGTATTCAATGTGGCCGGCATATCGTAAATGTATTTGTAACTTTTGTTTTTTAAATGTGTAAACTTTATGTGTCGTCGACCTGCATGTATACATTGATGAAGACCTACGTCGGATATTTGACCATATTCAATATGATGTTTTAAATAAGGATTTGATAATGGGTCTTTGTACCCGAAACTAGTCTTCCATAGACAAGTTAAGACTGAAGACGGAACAAGGTACGTATTATATATTTAGAAATTCCTGATTTCAGTACCTTAACTGAAGACATGGGGTTCCTAGCTGAACACAACATATGCATTGCTGGAGTTTTATACCATTTACCTTAGCTTTTAGAGGGTGAATACTAAACTAATAAATTCCATGTTAAATGTCTATAATATTGAACAATTTGTTACACAGATCAACAAATCGCTTACATGCTAAGGAGAGATCTTTACGCCGCTTATGAAGAGATGGGAAAAGTTTACGCTGTTCATATGGGACTCAATCCAGACCTTCTAAAAATTCCCATCAGGGTAAATTACCATATTTTGTTTGAATAAACTGTCGCTTATTCAAGTTTTAAATTTCACTTTTGTAAAGAGGACATTGCTATTTTTATGCTCAGATACTACATTTAATGCCTCCAAGACAGAACTATTAGTACATGTCGTAATTCATTAAAAAATGTTCCTCAACTGCTCCTTTTTCAAAGGAAATATAATCTTGAATCATATATAAAATGTTTGTTACTCGTCTAATAGTACGGTACCTGTATTTACTGAAAAATTCTTAGCTTATGGCTTCATCTTTGACGGTTATATTAAATTTGCTTTTATTTTATAACCAACCCAACGTTAGCAAACAACCATTCATACACATTTATTATATAAATATTATAATAAAATAAATAAGCTAGATACTTCCAATACTGACATTAGTAACTTTTCTACTTAAATAATTTTCATATTCCGTTTTTGTGTTACAGTTCAACAATCCTGTTTACGGACCTCCAGTTCCTAATTTCACTGATTTTGCCGCTCCTGGAGTAATGTTAACGTAAGTAAACATTATAAAATAATAACAAATTCTTTATCATATTCATGTCACCTTTTAGGAACTTAAGAGGAAATTTGTGGCGGTGAATACTACATCACTAATAATGCATGTGCTCTGCTTTTTGACATGGATACAACCTCAAACTCATTTCTGTAAATATCCTCCCTTGGAAGAAAAGATTCATTCAAAATTAGAAGAATATTCAATTCAAGATTATTCAATACAGAAGAGATAACAAATATTAGAGGTATTAGAATAGAAACAGTATGGATCATAAACATAAACAAATAATGCCACTGGCTTGAAAACGTAAACACATTGTCATTAATATTTAAATGGAACTGGCAAAAAACTTCCAAACCAGCTGTTACGGCTATTAGTATAGACATTCGAGCCAGTGATGTAATTCCATGTTTATGATCCATACAGTTTCTGTTCTAAATGGAAGAAATTAATATTTACACCTAAACAGGAAGTTTAGGTGTATATAGTTCGGCCGCTTAGAAAGCGACCTCCTCCAGCATTGGTTTAGCATTAGCGCGCAGGTCGTTTTCTAAGCGGCCCGAACTATAGTACCAGTATTGACATTTGAATGCTGAAGAATAAATTTCATCCACGTGGACCATTTTGTAGCCAATATTCAGTCAAATATAACAAAGTTAATCGGCCTCTCGAAGAGTATGTTCCTGTAAAAACTATATTTTCTCTCTTGCTTTTTGTTTTCAATATTATGATAGTTGATGAGACAAGACAGAGTCTACAGTGAACAATAAGTTGTTCCTTTTGTTTGGCATGGATATAAGGTTGTAGTTTATTACAGAAATCAGCAATTGGATGGCATCACTTGGTATGTTTTATTTGATTTTTGAAATGGCATCAGCTTTAACATGGATAATGGTGTATCTATACTTTATTCCTTAGACATAGATGCCAAAAATTCAACATAAAACATACTAACTTCTGTATAACAGTTGGTTACTGTGGTTGTAAATAGTTATAACATTGTTCTGTTTTCCCACCTAAATATTACTAAATATTTTGTTTCCAGAATCATATTCTTCCTAGCCGTAGCTCTAACCTCTGGCGCAATGTTGATAGAGCGTAACGAGGGAATTATGGAGCGAGGACTGGTATCTGGTAAGTTGTACTAAATAGCAATTACTAGTTTCAATAGGTTAAAGGTTAAAGTATTCGTTTGACGTTTACTCTTCAACAACTAACCTATAAAAAATATATTATGTGTCTTAGTTCGCTCTACCAATATATTAATTATTTCAGAAAAAAAATATTTTTAAAGGGTGGCAATTGACAATGCATGTCACGTTATTAAGATACATGTGTAGCAAACACATGCATAGTATGAATAACAACTCAATCTCCATAATATGTTATTGTTATTAACTGACTTATATTTCAGAAGTAAAAATATAGGATTATAGCATTTCATCATTAAGTTCTTCGGCACCCTTATCAATATTGATAGGCGGAAGGGGTTATGATTAACATATATTACATTTTAATTTTTATACAGTAGGCCCTACTTTGGAAAAAGATATATAGCCTTAGTGACCATAAAAATACTCCATTTTCAACCCTTTTGGTAAAGTTGTTTATTGAAATGATCTAAGCAGGATGTTTGACAAAAATATGTTTTACCACGTTATGTTATGATGCATTTAATTTTCTCTTCCCCTAAAAGCTATGGGGGGGTAGCTTATGCCCTTCTTACCCACAAGTATGGGCGTCCTTGATTGAAAGCTGATTTAAAGCTGTTGTCATCTTGTAAACATAAGTGTTCAATTTCTTACCATGACCAACTAATTACTCATAAATATGTTTGCTTTAATTAATTTAATTTTTATAAAATATTCACTCCACCACTTGCTCTATATTATCTCTTGTTAATAATGATGGGAGTGTATTCCCTGTTCTCAATCTTCAAGGTCATACACTATGTCAATTACATTTTTTAATGTTTAGAAGGAAACAGCCCAAACCCTGTCTAATGTCATTTTGTAATGTCGCAGGAATAACTGGGGTGGAGATTCTAACAGCACACGTTATCACACAGTTCCTAGTGATGTTGGGCCAGTCTGTCATGGTCGTTGTGTTTGCTCTGTTCGTCTTTGACGTCACCAATCACGGAGAGGTCATCTTAGTCCTCGTACTGGTTGTACTGGACGGCATGTGTGGAATGACATACGGTTTGTGTTTGAGATTAAATAGAATTAACTTATTGTAAAAGTTGTTTTAGCTAACTAACTAGTTTGTTAAAGAGGTCCAAATCTTTTTTTTTCAGTTGTGGTAATTTTATTGGTTATTTGTGTCATTAAGTGTAGTGTCAGGATTTGTCCATTCTCAACGTTTTTATTTACTTTTTCATAATACTGTAAATGTGTTTTTTTAAGTTAAATTGTACATATTATTATTACTTCATTAGCACATGTCCTTATGATTAAACGTTTATATATAATTTTACAGGCTAAATAATTATTTGATCTTTTTTAGTAGCACCAATATTTAAGGAACCAGACTCATTCTTTACTTTCCCAATACATTTTATAATTTTTTTCAAAGCTATTTATTATTGAGCGAAGCTCACTTTCCCTCACTTTGTAACTTCTTTGTAAGAGCATCAGAATGTAATGTCTTGACCAATTGATATGAAATTTGGCCAACAGCTAAAGAATACTGAGCACAATTTTTATGGTAAAAAATATTTGCAAATTTTCTTCTGAATTTTATTTTACGGGTCACGCAATTTCGCTTGTTATTTTAATGTAAGTTGAAAGAAAAATTATATTGGGTTTATGACATATGGATTTATCTCGTTTCATTTAAATAATATAAACATATGTTAATTGTTTGTAACTGTTTTGTTTACATTTCAATATTTACTTTCATCCTAGGTCAAAGTTGGAATGTGACAGTTTATCAAGGGAAGTAACAGTTTTGCTATATTTGTTTTGAGCATGCCTCAAAGGCCACGTTGTAATATTGGTCGTCGCACCAATAATGCAAATATTGTAAGAGAGTGGTGTCGTGAACAAGAAGAACCAGATGAAGCAGTGACGGAAGAAGCTGATAATAATAGGCAGATAGCTAATCAATTCCAACATGAATTAGATGCACTAAAATTTTACACTTGCACTAACTGTCATCGCCAACAACTAACACAGCTTCAAACCAATCACCGATTTGTTCGCGTTGTCGTTCAAATGCAACTAAATTCACGGCGTTAAATAATATGGATGTGTCAAGTGTCCCGAACGAATTAACTGACCTGACGATTGTAGAACAAATGTTGATTGCACGAGTACATCCCGCTATGCGCATTTACAAAGTACAAGCAAATGGTCAGGATATATTGTAGGTTGTTAGCTGCTTTAGCCATTGACAATATTTAAATAATGCTTCGCTCATTTATGCGTCTAAAGTGTAACGGCAGACCACCCTAGTTTAAATTTACTTTCACAATGCCATTTAGTTGATCATTGCAGCTAAAACAAAAGAATTATTGTGATATTAACATTGAAAGAATTGAACAGAAATTATTTATGTTTTAATAAAATAATGTTACAGATTTGGAGACATTGAGTTATATTTATATATTTGTTTCCAGGTTTTGTTGTGTCCTGTGTCACGGATAGTGAGAGAAACGCAACATACCTGGCTCTAGGAAGCTTTCTGCCATTTGTTATGCTTTGCGGTAAGTTGACAAATCATCATAGATATATATTGTAGATTTTTTATTACCTTACTTTACTCCTTACTACTAAATCTCTTGTAGAGCCTGGGCCTTCAGATATATCTGTCTCCTTCTGTTCTACAACCTTATTATCTATCTTCTAGTGAGTACCTAGTTTGTGGAGTTCATCCACCCATATTGTTCTAGGTCTGCATCTTCTTCTTCCTGGTATCCCAGTAAATATTCTCCTAAATGGAAGAAAACACTGCTGGTAGTCTTGGGATATTATATTCTTTTACGAGTAGTGTTAGTGTAACTATTGCTAACTTTTCTTGAAATTTCTATTTTGGTAAAAGGAGAAGAAAGACAAAAGGAGGTTCTACCCGGCAGCTTGAATTCCAATTCATAGTGGCAGAGTATATGGATTGAAATATACAGTTCGGGATTAAACATGCCTCTATTGTAAAAGCTCTCAACATTCTAAAACTATTTTTCCGCAATGATTGTGTGCTTGTGTGCTCTTAACACCTCAGAGCTTGCAATGGATGGTAAAGATTAATTTTAACTATTATTTTGAAGTTAAAATCTAATGTGAAAAAGACAAATTTGTGAATTTTCAAAATGATTTTTTAAATACCATACTTAAAGAAACATTTACGAAGTTTCAGTTCATCCAGCATAGTTTGGATCTTTATGAATGTTTTACAGTTTATTTCAACTCGATAAACACTTTAATAATTCCATGAGGTTCTTTTTTGTAGAACCATGTTTACGCGGTAACCAGCCGACAGGTGGAACCCTCTTAAGTTAGTTTCTCAAAGTACTAAAATAATGTGTTCGTGAGACTCCCATTCATTCATACTGATGTTCCCCCACAGGTGTCATCTGGCCAGTACAAGGTATGCACAAAATCCTTCGCAACATCAGCTACTTCCTACCACTCACCCTCTCGACGGAGTCTCTACGTTCAATCCTAGCCAAGGGTTGGTCCATCAACGAGACAGCCGTCTATGCGGGCTACATATCCATGAGTACTTGGATTATGATCTTCATGGTCTCGAGTGTTCTCCTAATTAAGTTCAAGAAGGGCTAAGTGTCCCGGAACATAGTATGTACATAGAGTATTATAGTTCTAATAATCTGAAACGTTATTGTATATACGCACTTAAACTTGTTTATTTGAACTGTCCGGCAAGATAATAAGATTTTGTGAGTGAAAATATTAAATCAAAATGTGTGCAATAAAACAGTATTTAATGATAAATTAAGTTGAATGAAATCATAGTGATATATGTTTCAAATATGAAACAAAATGGTTAGTGATTTATTACTTCCATACCTAAAGTCATTTAGACACAAATTTTTGTCTTTATTCGTACCCTTAAAATTAAATGTAAGAAAAAATCATATTATTGATAGTGACAATGATAGAATCACTTTAACCCACTTTAATGTTTGCTTTAATTCACACCGTACCTAAAAGGTAAACACGCATGAGGTAATGTTTGATGTATGATGATATGAGCAAAAACAAATTATGTTGTTAAGTAGTCTTAAATTTACCAATTGCTTCACTGATTCCTTTCAATTTAAATTTTATTTTAATTCTTGATGTATAATATAATTATAATATTTATGGTGATACTCAATCACTGAATTGTTAATCTTATGAGTATGTTTTTAAGTGTTACTCTCTCTTGTATATATAATGTATTTATACCACATAGATTAGTTTTAGGTAGATCTAAAAATAAATTTACTATATTTCAAACATTGTTTTATTGTACCTTTATCTCAGTTCCTTCTTTTTGCTATTTAAATACAGATTGTAATGTACAAAGTTAGGTTTCCTACTTGAGATACTTATTCACACAAAAACTAGACTGCAATCGTTTACAATAAGTTATAGAACTCATGATATTAGAATTTGTTAAAAGATATAATATCTTTCTAATTAAACTACCACACAACCAATTGTTGTACAAACTTTACATTCTGCATTTCACCTTAACTAAGTATTCATCTGTTGGAGATAAAAAGACTCGAATAATTTTGATTAGTATGTTTCAGTCCTTTTACCTCTAAAAAAATGATACAACCCCCTTTACTGAAAAATTACCACCAAGTTGCTGCAGCTTTTGTGATTTTCACCGTAAAATAGCATAGTTACTCCTCACCCGCTTGTACTCGGTCCAGATCCAGATACAGATGTCTTTATTAAGTTTTGCCCACCACTAGGGAAATCCAGTTGAACCACTTAACGCCCTGTTTTATTTAACTTAAAGTAAAATGAATGTTTGTGGGTTCCACACATGCATAAATTTGATATTATTTAATGAATGCTAAAATGGTTGGGTTGAAATTTTCCTACTTCGGCATTATCCATACAAGGACACAACAAAATGGCTCCTAGTGGCACAGCATGCCCTTGAGAAGTGCTACCTCACCTAAGAGTGTGGACCAGAATCCAGATGTACATTTATTTAGCTCAAAACAAAGCCCAGTCAGTCAGTGTCTGCTCTGCATATCTTCGTGCAGTCCAGTCGTCCTGTTCTAACCAGGTCAAAGGATTAGTTCCTGTATTTCAACACTCTGCTGAGGTTGGTAATGGGCTTGGGTGGGAGCATAGCAGACGGGGCCATCCGGCCATGTTGGAGTAAGTGCCAGAAAATATCTTTCTCTACAATTTATAAACGATGCTTTTCAAAAGTATCTTTTTATCTTTTCACAAATACACGTGGAATGTAAATAAATACCTCTAATAACACTTGAAACATACATTTAAACTTACTTAAATTTTTTAAGACATTAAATATATAAAAGATAGTAGTGGTGATTGATTTTGGTTGAATACTCAAATTATCATCACATCGAATAGATAGGGGAATGACCAAATGACGTCATAGTGTGTTATTCTGTGTCCGATGGATTGTACGCATATGCCTTGAGTGCTTGTAAACTGATTCCCCTAGTTGGTACCGAAAAAACAAAATTTTACAGTCTCTCAATTTTCTAGCAGAGTTGTTTTGTCAGTGCTATACCTCCAGAGAGAAAAGAATTTATTAATAAAAATAAACACATCTGCCTTAAGAGGATATGGAGGCTAGTAGCCAAAGTGATTGTAACTTAAATATCTAGGGCACTATGAGATCATAAATTTTCTTTGACTTTTGACTCCATGACTTATTTCCTGTCGCTCCTTAGCGGGATCATGGGGAATCTAGAAGAGCTTGCCATCCATCTCTGTCCTGTGCCAGATCCCTCTCCTAACCCCAGGTCTTCCCAACACTCAAGGCTTCCTTCATTATTGTTTTTCTTAAGGTGTCAATTAAAGGGCCTTTTCCCCTCTTTCTCATCCCTTCACGATTCCATTCCAGGGCCTTCTTTTCAATTGCTTCATCCGACTTCCGAAGAGTGGGAACCAGCCACCTCCACTTCCCTCTTCTGATTTCCAGGTGGATCTTTTATTTGTTGTCCCAATGTCTCCAAAAGCTGTTCATTGGAAATAGTGTTTGGCCATCAGAACACTCTCATAATACGTCTGAGAAACCTGTCTGAGAAACACATGGAGCTGAGAAGTACTACGCCGATCCATTTTCCAAGTTTCACTGGCATATAGAAGGACAGACTTGACATTTGTGTTGAAGTAAGGCATCACCAAATAAAATTTAGGGTTTGCCTTTGTTGAAGATGCAGATTTTGTTTTTCATTGAAATATATCTCTTTTATTGCCATACTGGGTAAAGCTGAATAAATGCTGCATTAGATTTCCCAATGCTGTGCTCCTCCTTGGCTTCTCGTCTGCTGTGACTTTGCTCCCGAGGTATTGGAAAGAGTCAACCTCTTCAATTACGTTCCCGTAACAATTGTAGAGGTATTATGCTTTTGTCAGACCCAACCAAATGCTGGCCAAAATAATCGTGAACTGGATAAAAGATTCCACTAAACTGAAAATTGATGAAAGAACAGGCATGTTTCCGGAAAGCTAGAAGTTGTGTGTGGATTTAGGTACTTAATATTACTCTACGAATCCTACTTAAACAGAGAAAAGAATTTCAAAGTCCTACTCCTCTACGCTCTACCTGGCATTTGTAGATGTCGAGAAGGCCTTTGACTCAGTAAACCCCATCAGGTGCTGGGTGCTGTGGCATGTTCTGCAAGAATATGGGATACCCCCTAAAAAAATAAATATTATTAAAGTCTTGTACCATGGTTTCCAGTGTCAGGTTTCGCATCAGCGAAGGTTAACTGGATCAATCCCAGTTTAAATAGGCGTTTGCCAAGGCTGCATTCCATCATCAATCCAATACTGTTCCTTTATGTGCTTGACTCATAGTTATACTGTAAGGAGAGTAACAAATAATTGGAGGCGGGGAGGCTCACTGATATTCAGGCGAAACTTGTTGAAAATGCCTGCCTTTTATATTTATTTGCAATAGTCATACAGATGATATGAATGTTGTTTTTACTATCAGCTGTCTGTTTTGTTGTCCAATATTGTTCCTTGTCATGAAAACATTAATGAGAAATACATTTGAGAAATACATTTGATTATTTTATAGTTTAAATTAGTTTTTCGTCGTAGTTTTGCTTAGATTATCCCTAAACACCTCCACTTGGGAGAATAATTCAAGAGGTTATGGTCGCCAGCATCGTTTTAAGTACATAACAGTGTTGGGAAATCTAGTCTACTACGTACACGGTAAGAACAATTTATACTGACGTATTTTTCTGTCTCAAGAGTATTATTTCTTTGGTATATCTTTCGATCGAGTTCGTCCAGCTCTACAAATGGAATACGAACGTGAAAGGTATAAAACCATTGAAAGGAGCAGAAGATTGGCCGACGTGGAAAGATCGAGTGTTGGACGTTCTAGAGTTGTTCGACGCGGTTGATATCGTCGAGGGAAAGAGAGAAAAGCCTACCCTCTCTGAGCCTCCGACTAAAGCCGAAAAGGAAGAACTTCAGAAATTCAACAAATCCACGACTCAGGCAAAAATAGTTATTTCTCAGTGCGTTAGTGATGATCTACATCAACGTATTTCCGGAAGATTATCAGCTAAGGAAGCGTGGGACATTTTGATCGAGCAGTTCGATAACAAGGCAGAAGATCAGTTGTTTCGTCAGTGTTTGGATTTCTTCAGTATGGAATGGGATGATACTGAGGATGCCCCGACCGTGCTTTCAAGATTGAAGAATCAAAACCGCGAATTTGCAGCTGGCCTCAAAACGCTTAACATCCAAACAGTCGAAGATTTTCTTGGGCTCCTGTTTGTGTCAAAAGTGTTACATATTTTGCCGAAGCGTTTTGAATCGTTCAAGTCTAGCTACTTACTTATGAAGGCAAACGAGAGCAAGAAACTTGAAGATGTTTCATCTGCATTGATCCTTCATGAGCGTAATGTTGCTCCTACGTCAAAAGCCGGTGACATTCTTAGTGCCACAAACAGCGGTGGTCAGAAGAATAGGAAACCAAAAGGTGACACTTCGTGCAAATACTGTTCGGGGAAAGGTCATTGGATTCGTCAGTGTTCTAAATGGAAAGCTGACGGCAAGCCTGCGTATCCAGCTCGAGCTCATGGCATTAGCACTAGCTCAAAAGCGAGTGACACTGATAAGAAGAGAACGAAGGGCTCGCAAGTTAACGTGACCGACAACCGAAGTGCGCTGATTTCCACCAGCAGTGACATGAATATCGTGACCACGAACGACCAGTGGTGGATCGACAATGGCGCTACGCGCCACATTACGTCAAATCTGAGTTGGTTCACGGAGTACAAACCTTTTCCTGCAAACTCGAACACAACAGTAAAGGCGGCGGGAAAGGAAGTTATAAAAGCTCTTGGCAGTGGAGTCGTTGAAGTAGCGAACTATGAAAATGGAAAACTGGAAACGTTCACACTCAACGATGTCTGGTATGTTCCTGACGTTTCTCGGAACTTAGTGTCCATTCTCGCAGCTCATGATCGAAACCCTAATAGCAGGTTTGAATCGACTAATACCGAGTGTCGGTTCACAATTAACGAAAAAACTGTATTCAAAGGTACTCGAAACTGTGGTGGAACTTTGTATCGTGCCTCATTTCACACAGTTCAACCATCTGAGGTTTGCGCTAATGCAGCAGAAGACAATCGAATACTGCAGTTATATCATGAGCGCTGGGGTCACATGGATAAACGTTACGTCCGATCGAAGCTCGAATCCGAAATGGGTATCAAAGTGCCAGCTAACTACGAGATCTGCGAACCGTGTCAGTTCGGAAAGGCACACCGTCTACCATTCGGAACACGAGAACGCCCCTCAGCCCCCGGTGAGTTGTTAACCGGTGATGTTTGCGGCCCGTTTGACCCATCCTTCGGAGGTCGCCGATACTTGATCGTCATAAAAGACCACTTTTCAAGGTACCGAAAACCGATACTGTTTTGTCGCAAGGGAAAAATCTGCTGTGAAGGAAGCGTTGCGTGAAGTGTTGTCTAAAGCATGCACAATTGGTCATCACGTCAAAGAGTTCCTCAGCGACAACGGTGGTGAGTTTGACAACGCTGAAGTTCGTCAAATTCTCAGAGAATATGGTGTTAACCAACGTCTGACAGCACCGTATACACCCGAACAAAATGGTGCTGTGGAGAGAGAGAACAGAACGATCGTCGAAATGGCCCGGACCTTCAAGTACGCCAATCCAAATGTAACATTTCCTGCAGCGATCTGGGCGGAACTTGT